ATATATCCCCACCAGCTAGCAGACTGCCCGGCCTTATGATGTTTGAAGATCAAGCCTAGGAATCGTACGTAATTCTACTCCCTGTCACAACCAGCCCGTCCGTCCAAGAAACCTTAAGCAATTAAAAGTCCCATGAAAATTCCAGGAGGCTATTCAACTTCCTTTTCATTTCAGCCAACTGACCTTGTCCTGTAGTTCTCTGAGGAGGAATGAAACTGGCTGTCCATGGAGATTTCCAGAGGAAGTCGTTAGAGGTGTATTGATGTCGGCATGGGCATCCACCCAGATGACACAAAGGTCTTGGCAGTGCCGGGCGTGGCCGATAATGGTTCCGATTGCCAGGCTGCAAGGAATAAATACGATAATCTCCAAGGCCCTCTGCTTGGCAAACATCAAAAACAAATCGCTTCAGCCAACACAACTCACACTCTGTCCTCGGGGCAAAGTCAGGGCCCTAGACTGAGGCAGGGTTTCGAAGGCCCAGAGCCCCAACAGTTACACTTTCCCTAGCCTTGAGTGAGTTACACAGGGAGAAATGGAAGAGCTGATGATTAGGCTGACAAATGGTTATCTTTGCAGTATAGCACTTTGATCCATTAGTCCTGGTCCAGCAAAGGACCACAAATATTTGTTCAATGAATTGAAAGCCAGATCCATAAAGTGATTTATAAATAACAACTCACAAACATGTTGCTTCACACCTATTGTGGAAGACCTCAGTGAATGAATCATTACTTTCCAAAAGTCAATTATATTTCTTTTTTTTTTAAAGATAAAAATTAAAAAGCATTAAAGCGTTTTATAAAGATTGTATGTGATCATTCCTAACACTTGAAAAGCCAAAGATGTTTAAGTCTGACATTCAGTTTTAACAAAGGGTTGTTAAAGGCTGACATGAAATAAGGGAACCCAGAAAAGATCTCATCCTCGACCAATGAGTAAAAGTTAATCTGCAGCTCACCAGCTCTAATACACTAGCATGGCAAGTCACTATCCTGAAAGGTCTCTCTGGATTTTTTTTTTTGTCATCTTTGTTTACAGTAGACAAATGTTCCACACCTCAACTGCAAGACTCCACTTGAGATTGGTGGGAAAGCTACTGGCCTCCCATGTGCAGCTCCCCATGTCCTTTCTTGGTCAGTGGAGGGTGAATGTTTCAAGCTCCATTCTTTGTAGTGGCTCTTTTGCAGGGATGCTGCTGACTCATTGGGGCTCTATGTACTACAGAGGGCAATGCTGCCCAGTCCTGCACTGTCCTCACAATCATCATGCTGGAGCTACCGTTACAACTACTATGCCAATCCATCTGTTGGAAGATCTTTCTCTTTCTCAGTAACCTTTTACTTTACCACCAAGCACAGTGTCCTGGAAGGACTGGGCCCTCCAGATTGCATGTCCAAGTATGTAAGGTGAAGTCACCGCCTTTGCTTTGAAGCAGCATTCTGGCTGTACTCCCTCCAGAGCAGATTGGTTTGTTCTCGGCCTTACGCTCCATGTGCTTTGCCTACACCACAGTTATATGGCATTTCTTCTTCAGTCTTCCTTATTAATTTCTAGCTTTCACTACCATACGAGGTGACTGAAAATACCATGGCCAGAGTTGGGTCAGGTTCTCAAAGTGCCATTCTGCATTTTGACACTTTAAAAGAGATCTTTTGCAGTTGAATTGCCCAATGCAACACATCATCTGGTTTCTTGATTGCTGTTTCCACATGCATTGTGGATTCA